GTGATACAATATATACAAATGGATCTGCATAGTATTCTTATTCCTATTGTATTGAAGGGTGGTTGCTTTCGGTGGTCCATTTTTTTTGTGAGAGAAGAGAAACCGTGAAACAAAAGGATAAAAGAGAATGAATGCAAAGATATGAAGTGACATTTGACACTATTTTATTCTCCTTGGATTCTAAGCACAGGCCAACTCAACATACCTCAAGACAGACTGGTCACATGAACCTAATTTTAAGAGAATAAGTCACCTATTGTTCGTAGCATCTCTTAAATCTGACTCTTTCACCTCCTTGTTTTGTCTTCTCTACTTTATTCACCTTCTCACATTCCTTTCTTCTTCCCTTTATATTCTTCTTTCCCCTCACCAATCAAACCTATCGCCGTTTTGTCTTCTATTGCTTCTTTTCTCAGGTATCATCATATGCCTCTTATCATGTCTAAATCATTTTATTTAGCTCTGATATTGTATAGTATTCTAACTAACCAGAACTTGCCAAGTTTAGGCTAATGATGTGAAGCTCATACCAATAAAAAGCATATGTGCCTTAAATTTGGAAGAAAAAATGGACAAATTAAACAACCAGAAAGAGAGTGTCGGGAAATTTGAATGGTCTAATCATAAGAAGCTAGAATTACAAAGAAAAGAGGAGGGGGGAAATGAAAAAGGAATGTGAGTGCGCATGGATATGTCATCTTTTGAGATTCTTAATCATGGATGATTAGTTTAATTGCTCTTCACGTGGGGATAGTCCAACGGGGTAAAGAAAGTGCTTTACAAATTAAAGGAAGAGGATATCACACGAACGTGAATCACAATAGTAAAAAGAGTAAAACATGACATATATTGCGGCATTGAAATCTTTATCAGTAACATTGTTTTGATTCATTGAAGGAATTCTGAGATTGGTGTGTGTGTGTGTGACCCTAGTCTACAAATCCAGCTATCACCAAACATATAATAATTGATTAACATCAACTCAGAGTAATTAACCCAAAGGGTGGGGCAATCACAGTACATATGTATCCTGAAAAAGGCAACTTAATGAAGCAAAGTTTCTTTTTTACAATCAAAATGATTAGTTCTAAAGTCTGTAGCTCTTGTTCATCAAATTAATGTAATTTACTAATTTACATTCAAATCCCACAAGTTTAAACCAGAAAACAGTCTCTGCAGCTGCAAATAGCCTTCTATCTTTTGATATATCTGCTTCTTTAGGATGCTGCGGCATTTATATACAGACACAGAAGGCATGTCAGTAGGAAGCAGATACTGTCATTATATTTTCGTTTGTACATTATTTTGGACCCTCCTTTTCTTTTTTAAACCTAGTTATTTTGCTTGTGTGTGTGTCCAGGAGGAGATTCAAATCCAAAAATCAAACGACTGTAGAACTATTTGGATTCGCGGTAAAAAAATTAACTTATTTTCAATTTGATTTTTTGAAAAGTTAGATTGGTTAATGTAATTTATGTTTGAATTAATTTTTATAAATAAGTTAGTTTGTAAAAATAAAAGTTGTTTGGATTATGATTGAATAAACAAGTTTACTTTGTGAAATTACTAAAATAGGTATGACTTTTATTAAATAATACAAAATAAAAAATCAATTTACATAATATAATCATTTTAATTATTTTAATAGGAAGAAGTTAAATTTAAGGGAAAATGACAACAAAATACCACCTGAATTTCAAAAAGACAAATAAGGCACATGAATAAGCAAAATGACATATAAGGGACTGGGTACCAATCTGGAATTCAGATTTTTGACCAAAAGACCAAAATGCCCTGTCTGAAAGTGAGAGGAAAGAGAGAGGAAGACGCTGATGAAATACGGGAAGGAGAGAGGAGGAAGACGCTGATGAAATCGGGAAGAAGAGAGGAAGGAGAGAGGAAGACGCTGATTTTCGATGGGTTCCCACAGCTTAAAATGTTATTGCCTAGCATTTCTCTAAAAAATTTTGGTTTTGTCTCTGTTCTTCGCATAAAACCAATTTCAGAAAATGTGAAGCTGTCTGGTTTTCTAGTATTATTAAACCATTTGTCCTGAATTTTACAAAACGCATATTGTGATTTACAACTTTTGTAATGAAAGTGACTATTTTGTTAATGGGTTTTGCAACCTGTTTTCAGGAGATAAATAATTTGTTTGTAAAAACTAATAAAAAATTCCACGCTAAATTTGACAAAACGTATAGTGGGATTTACAACTTCCGTAGTAAAAATGACCACTTATTCAATGGGTTTTGTAACATGTTTTCAAGGGATTGGCAACTTATTTCTAAAAACCAATAAAATTTCACGCTGAATTTTACAAAACATATAGTGATATTTACAACTTTTGTAGTAAAAATTATCACTTCTTAAATGAGTTTTGCAACCTCTTTTCAGGGGATGAGCAACTTGTTTCTAAAAATCAATAAAATTTTACGCTGAATTTTACAAAACATATAGTAATATTTACAACTTTTGTAGTGAAAATTACCACTTCTTAAATGGGTTTTGCAACCTCTTTTCAGGGGATGAGCAACTTGTTTCTAAAAATCAATAAAATTTCACGCTGAATTTTACAAAACACACAATGAGATTTACAACTTTTATAGTGAAAATGACCACTTCTTAAATGGCTTTTGCAACCAGTTTTTAGGGGATGGACAACTTATTTCTAAAAACCAATAAAATTTCACGTTGAATTTTACAAAATATATACTGGGATTTACAACTTTTGTAGTAAAAGTGACTATTTTGTTAACAGGTTTTGTAACATATTTTTGGAGGATGAGTAACTTACTTTTCACCACCAATAAAATTTCACACTGAATTTTACAAAACACATAATGTGATTCACAACTTTTATAGTGAAAGTGATTACTTCTTCAATGGGTTGTTTTCACCAGAAAGGCAACTTATAAGCATAAATAAATCATTCAATGAACGTGCACCTGAAGTACGTCACAATAAATATTGAACTATTAACTTTCATAATTAACTACATGTATAGTAAAATTTACCATTCACATAATGGGATTTACCAAAAACCAGTAGGCATATGACAGCAATTATGTTACGTAATTGCTTGCCATTGTTTTCTGATTTCTCCTTCATTATTCACCGAATACTAAATATAAACCCTCAAATGCAATAATCCTGTTCCTATTTCACTATGAAGCAGCCACAAAAATGAATAATCCAAATCCCTCCATCAACTTCTTTGCCACAAGTTCACTCCCTCTCTCACTACAAATGCGGGATTCGGATTTAGTTTCGCCGAGTGGGAGGATTGGTTTCTCTGAATAGGGGGATTCAGTTTCACTAGCTGAGTGGAGGGATTGGTTTCGTCGAGTGGGGGGATTCGGTTTCGCCAAGTGGGGGGATTGCTTTCACCGGTAGGAGGTGATTTCTCTCTTTCTCTATCTCCTCAGTTTTCAAACATAATAAGGGCAATTCGGTCATTAGGCCAAAAATCAAAATTTCAGATTGATACCCAATGCCTTATTTGTCATTTTGCTTATTCAGCTTCCTTATTTGTCTTTTTGGAATTCACATGGTATTTTACTATCATTTTCCCTAAATTTAATGAATAAAATATCTTTATATTAGATATTTGTGAAAAAATTTTGAACTAAATAATATTATATAATTAATTAAATGATATACTTGTGCACAATTTATGTAAATATAAAATAAAAATAATTTTAAAAATTAGAAATATTATTAAAAAATTTTATGTTAAATGAGTATGTATGCATATGTAAAGGAAGACGGATCTGTCGCAAAGAGGAAAGGAAAAGCATGTCACAACAAAAAAATAAGGGAGAAGAGAGGGAATCTGGTGTAAAAGCTCGATCAGAAAAACAAAAAACAGCCAGAAATAACTTCATCAAATTGCACGATTGAACGCAACTTCTAGTCATACTTCAGATATATTAAAAGCTAATCCAAACATACTTGTAAGCCTAAAAGCTGTTTTTTCATGCTTAGACCGTCACTCCAAACAGACACTATATATGATTCCTACTAGTCTTAATACTAGCAAGACAAATTCATCAGAATGGCTCAAAAAAACATGATTCATGGCTCAAATCATTAAGGCAAGGGACTGGAATGAAGAAAAAGTTAATGTGACTAGACTAAAGCCTATCCTAAACCTAACCGGCATTAGGGTTATATAGGTGAAGGGTAAGCCCATGAAGCATTCATACGCCCTTGCGAGTCTCTGCGATTTCCTTCACAAGTCACAACACGGGCTTTCCCTTTACTTAGGCTAATGGGCTCCTCCTCCACCACACCAACACCACTGCTACACATATCATAATCTTCTGCTGCTTAGGAAATAACATCCTTTTTAGCAGCAAGTTCATTGAGCATGTAAGTGTTTCAAGAGTTGAATTAATGCTGTTAGATCAGAACTATTGGGCTGGTGTGCAATGTGAACCTTGCGGTCCAACCATGAATTTTTTATGAACCTTCCAGTCAGATTCATAGTTTATTGGCAGGTAGTTTTTTACTCTTAATTTTCTGTTTTAAGAAGACGCAAAGCGCATGTTGGCAACGAGGTGTCGTGGTGTAGTTGGTTATCACGTCAGTCTAACACACTGAAGGTCTCCGGTTCGAGTCCGGGCGACGCCACATGAGTATTTTTTTTCCCACGTCCTTTTGATCCTTTTGGGTGACGACCGGACCTGAACCCAATTATATGTGTTACGCTGAATTCTTTTGCCCTGCATCATAAAACCCCTTTTTGTCTTGGGCTTAGAATACACGTCAGTATTGATCTGGGCTTGAAGTAAAACTGGTCCTAAGATTTTAAATTTGATTCGAATTGTCAAAATCGAAACGTCAACCCAACTTTAAACACACCCATTTTAGCATTAGAAAACGTTACACTTGCGTCATTGTCAGTTTTAACTTTTAATTGAGACGTTTACCCCATAATGAATAGACGTGCAAATGATAAATTGACGCTAGATCTACCCCAACAATAACAACAATAATATTAATATTGAGATAGCAAACGTAATTAACATTTCTCTTTATTGATATCTTACAAAAACAAAGGTCACAAATAAATTCTTCACGTAAGCGCACATAATTGCTGTAAGATAAAGCAAGGGCTAATTAATGTGAACTAGATATCAAATAAAAGTTGCTGAGTTTGTGTATAAGCTAGGATGAACACAAGTACAGCAATGTTCAAGATTCATTGCATTTCCATCTTGAAGTTGGGACACAAGTCAAGTAATGGCACCAGTGGCAGTGATCATAACCATTCTCTCCCTTGAACAGCATCACCGTCCCAATGCTTAACCTGACATGATCGAGTTCAGCCACCACATCAGCTATGATCTGTACAATGTTAAATCATAACGTGATCTTATGCAAAAGGATGAGATAAAGGATGTTACCCAAGAATGAGAAGAACGAGAGAGATAATCCAAAGAACATATTGGTAAGGCTTGTATTTGGACTTGAGGCGTGCAGCAGCAGGAAGATGGTTTTGCTCTACCCAACCGAACCGTGGACGAGGCAGCAAGATGAAACCCAGCAACAAACCTGTCGTGAATCCTCCTATGTGTGCAAAATTATCCACATGGGGTAGTATTCCTATCCCAAGATTTATCACTATTATCACCACTAGTGTCACCAATGCTGCTGCCTGCAAACAAACAAAACAAAAGATGCCACAAAGTTCAGATCTTCAGTACTAAAGCTGCTAATTCAAGTGTCTGTCTTAATGCCCATTGGGATTAATAATGGAATTTTGTCTCATAAAGTGTGACAGTTTTTTTCCCCCTTCTAGTTGGTACTTATTAGAATGGTTCTTCTACCTTGTTGGTGTAAATGGTCCAGTTTGTGATGAGTTCAGAAAGCATTGCTCCAAGAAGTCCAAAAAGAGCCCCTGAAGCACCCACTGATATGTTGTTTCTGATAAACAGAGAAGACAGCACGCTCCCTCCAAATCCAGACAACAGGTAGATTATTCCTATCTTCACTGCAAAAAAATCTCAGCCAAACAAAATGTTACCACCAAATGAATGTTATCATAATATGGTAATGTTTCGCAGAAAGCGGGATTATATATTCGTACCAAATCCAAATTGCTGTTCAAGGCGAATGCCAATGAACACAAGGCTCAGCATGTTTGCAACTAAATGGATCACTCCAGCATGCAACCATATGCAAGACACAAGCCTCCATCCCTCGTGCTGATTCACAACACTATCCCATTTCAAAGCTCCCATCTTTGTCAATCTTCAAAAATCAACACACTTTTCTCAAATCAATTGCTCGATAGCACAAGATTATTCCAATAGCTGAAGAATTTTTAAGTAAATGCATGCAAGTATTTCTGAAAGTAGAGACACACCGACAGTGAGGAAAACACCAAGGTGCGATCATGCTTCATGACAGACTAAAGACAGAAACGTAAAACATGAAATCAGAAACATAGGTGTTGGAGGAAAGCAATGGATCAGCTCTTACGTTGAAGAAGAAGGGCCAAACAGGGGATTCTCTTGCAGAGGCTGGAACGACAACCTCCCGAGGAACCTGGCCACACAGTCTCCTTGAAAACCCAGATTGTTACGAGGACAATTGTTAACGTACATGGACGCAATGAAAACCCCAACATTGGCCACTACGAACATCGGAACCAGCCATGAAGTCCACTGAGTTTCTGGATCATAGCCATGGGAAGAAGAAGCAGAGAAGTCTCTGTTCTTCGATCCTCCTCCTTCTAGATCTCTTCTAGGCATATTCGCTTGTCCTGTCCCAAACCCACAAGCAAAGTCTCAGACTTCTTCTCGAGAAAATCAATGAAGACGGTTAGGGAGTGAAGGAGATGAAGATGGGGCGGATTTAAACGGAGGAGGAAAAGAGGAAGTGGTGGTTGTGGGCTTTGTGGGTGAGCGATTTCAGGCTTCCAACTGACGCAGTAAGCAAGAGGGATGGATCCTCGGTGTTCCATCTTGTACGGTTCTTCGTTGTCATAGCCAATCAATGTTGGTTCCGGTCGGGAAGCTGCCACGTGATTGCGCACGTGGTTCTAGAGACGTTGACTCCCATAGTCTTGTCATGGCGTGGCGACTGCTTATTGGTCATATTTTGAAGTCCGGTGTGGGGGTGCGAACAGTGGATTGAAGCCAGAGTGGGAGGTGTTTCGTTTTCGTTTGGCGGTAAGTAAGCGGAAAGAGGCATTTGAAAGTGGCATGTTGCTTTGCTTCGCTTCGCTTCCAACATCCAAACAGTTAATATATATTTTGAATCAGAATATAATAAAATATTTATTTCGATAAAGATATATATTATATTTTAAATGAGCAATTAAACAGTTTGATGAGGGGTTTTTTCTTGCTTTCGTATCTTCCACAAATATTACTAATGTATTTTGTTAAGAAAGGGTGCATTTTGGAAAGAAATTCCCATTGTTAGAAGTATTTTATCATCATCTCACCTACCTGACTTTGTTCTTTTGTGAAACTTTATTAAACAATTGCTATATCTTATACATTGTTTAGCTTTTAATCATATTGATGGTCCTATTTTTTGGACAAATAGTACTGCAACTTTTTTCCCCCAAAAGAAGAGGGGCTAATTTTGTTTTTTAAAAAAGAGAAAGAAATAGGAATTTATATTATTTCAGTTTAAAAATATCTGGGAAAAAAAGTAAAAGTATGGCATTAACTTAATTATGCTAATCAAATAGTACTGAATAGATAGAGTCAAACGTACAATCTTACAATTAAAGAGTCTAAATTTGCATTATGCGATTGATAGAAAGATTTACTTTTTATCATTTGACAGTGACTCTATTTTGTTCTGGAAAATGTGGTGCAATGTGGGTCATCTTATTGAGAGTTACACTTTCAGCTTTTCGTTGTGAGTATTAGGAGGTGTTTCGCAAGATTAAAAAGTACTTCTCAGGTGCGTTTTTTCAGAAAATGAGACAAACTCCTCTACATATATATTTCGTAAACCGTAAAAGTACTTTTGAAATTATGGTTTGGTTTCCATCCAAACACCCCCTTAATTGGTTGTTTGGATGAACTTCTTTTCTAACTGACTTATGGAAAAAAGTAACTTTTCTAACTGACTTTTTATAAGCAATTTGGAGTAACTTTTCTAACTAACTTTTTATAAGCAACTTCTCCAATTGTCATTTTCACTCATTTTACAACTAAACTCACTTTTCTATTTAATCATCCAAATAACTTTTAACTTTTTCAACTGACTTTTTATAAGCACCTATCCAAACGTAAATCGTATTATACTAACTGAATTTTATTTTAACTTTAATTATAAAAGTCAATTAGACTATAAGTCAATTTTACCCAGCGCCAATCCAAACTCACCCTTAGAAGATTAGATGCATAGATCTTGTTGGGCCGATCATAGAATTGAGCCCAGTTATCATCCAGTTGACTTTTGAACCAAGTTTTTTTCTTTCTTTTTGACCTTGTGAAGCAAGTTGAAAGTCAAGGCTTGGTAAAAACAGATACCCATTATTTAACTAACAGAAACTGGGCGTGGCAACCAACAAGAGCTGACGTAGTGAGTGAAAAATCAACTCTTAGCTCAAAAAATTATGAGCTATCGAAACTTAACTCACTTAAATTTTTTATAACAAACAAAAGGGTGTGGCAAAAAAATTAGTCCCTCGCGACATGAAAAATCAATATTCAAATTCCTAATGAGAAAGATGCTTTCATTTAGTGCAATCATTATATATTATCTTGAATAGAATTGTAGTCAAATAAAAGAATCTCAACATATGATTTTCTAAAAGGTATTAATCATATATTTGCCTGTGACTATGTCAACTGGGGCCAATTATGATGTCAAATCTTTTATGATTTTATTATAGTTAACTCTATATATAATCATATAACTAATATTTTAACTTATAATTGTCTTGTCCTTGCTCTTGTGATGTAATAACAAAGGCATTTTTTAAAATAAGTTACAAGTTTCATCCCGTTTGTAGTTTTAAAGGGATAGTTTTTAAAATTGAAAACAGTACATGTTTTCTGTGGTATGAAATAAAATTTTAATTTCACGTTGCAAAATAAAAATACATAACAAAATTTGACGATGACGGTTACGTAACTAAGCAGCCGCGAAGGCCCTATTAGCATAATAATCATTTTTCCATGTGTTTGTTGGGTTCTTCTTTGTCATGATGAGATTAATACAGCCGCTAGAAGAATTAAAAGGTCTGATACCCTCTTCTAACTCAATTAAATCATTCATAAACGTGTCAACAATATTAAAAGGGTTAAGCCATGTATAAACACACACAAAATTATAAACCATGCTTCAAAAATAATATAAGTGTGTCTATGTATATGTTATATAAAATTTATAGAAAGTACTCATTCGATACTTAGTATAAAAACACTTTAAAATGAATTTTATATTTAAGATTAGAAGAATAGTATTTATTTATAAATCACAAACAATTTCATTCATTCCATGCCTCTTGTCATGCATGAAGGGAAAAAAAAAAGTACTAGATATTTCTCATTCACTCTTTGATATTTCATAGTTTGATATCATTTTTTGTTCATACTTTAAAACTTAACAAAATGGCGCGATTATTTCTCATTGCTGGTTTCATTTTTCTGCCCCTGTGTGTGTATATATATGTATACTCATCCCGTTTTCAATGTAAATTATAATTAATTAATTTAAGTAGATTAAAGTTGTTAGGTAAATTACTGAATATAATTTTTTTTCTAAAATACCCTAAGCATCTTTCCTAATTCATTTTCTCCTTTTCATACTTGATTATTATTGAGGAAATATTAATAGGGTTAATTTAGAAAAAATAGATAAAACAGATAAATTTGTGAAATAAATATTACATATATAATTAATATCAATTTTTTAATTAGGTCATATATTGAAAACTGGATGAGTGCGTATATTCTTGAAGCTTCATACTTAAAAACTAAAATCATTCGCTATTCTATTTATATTTAATAGCTAGGTAAGGTAAGCTCTTGACATAGATTGCTTACAGAGGGGTGCATTTAATCAATCGCTCGTCCATTGAATCTATCAAATACAAAATCAAAATGTATGTTCACAGTTCACACTTCACACATTGTGTTTTGGGCATTGTATTGCCATCTAAATTATCAAATTGCTGCGAGAGATAATTTCATATTTTCTACTATTTTAAAATTATAAATTATCATTCACAAATTTGTTATTTATGAATTACGAGATGAAATTATAAAATGAGATTTAGAAACAGAAAAACGAAATCAACGTGACTGATCTGATAGACACTCTACTTACTCAGTGTCTGTTATAACTCAAATTCGGATTAGTCAAAATCTACTATATATTTAAGGATTAATACAATTTTTTATCATTTAAATTTGTTTTTATTTTGATTTTGGTTCCTCAAATTTTAAGCTATAGATTTTGATCTATCAAATTTTGTTTCATTTAAAAATTGATTATTATAATTTAATAAGAACCTGGACGATTTTACTTCTAGAGGACCGTGATCTATGATATAAAATTTGACAGGCTAAAATTAAAATAAAAAAATTTGATGAACTAAAAATTATATTAATCTTATATTTAAATACAGGGTGATCTGTTAAAAATTAGAATAATGATCATGTATCAACAGTTAGTTAGTTTATTTCTGAGGCGTATATATTCGTAATCGTGATTTAAACTTTCTTTTGACAGGAACATGGTCAAAGAACTATAAAAGGACGAAATAAAACCAAGGGGGGGAGTAGAAATTAAGTAACTTTATTTTTCACCCAAAAGTTGATCTTCAATTATATGTATTAACGAATTTGTTGAAGTAATTTTGCATCTTGAGATGACGTTATGGTATTTAACTACATGAAATTTTTTAACATTGTATTTAACTACGTTAATGAATTCATAGTTTTCTTTCACAGTTTATTTATTAAATTATAAGTAATTAATTATTATACTGCTTCATTAATTTTTTTTAAATTATGACTATTGCAGATTTGGAGTAGTAACTCCAGCACGAATAAAAAGAAGCATGAGAATTTTTCATCCAAATCATATGCTAATAAATGCAGTCCCCCCCCCCCCCCCCCCAAAAAAAAACGAATCGCATATATTGAAAATTGTGACTCAGCTTGACTTTCTTTTCCAGGGAACATAGTCAAAGAACTACAAAAGGACGAAAATAAAGGCAAAAGTAGAAAATAGAAATCCGTTTTGCAAGTAACTTTCTTTTTCGCCAAAAGGCCTATCTTTATTTTTTTGTTTAGATGAAAAAAGGTTCATCTTCAAGTAAATCCAATCAATATCTTGATTTTGAAAAGCGTATCCTCATTATTTAATTATCATATCACAACACGATGCATGCTTTCATTCATAGCAAAATAAAATTCATCCAAAAAAACTCATTATTAGAAACCATGCATTAAATTAAGGGCCTGTTTGGATAGCAGGCCAAACCATAGTTTGAGAAAAAAATCACCCAAACAGACACAAATTATCTAAAACCATGGTTTGAGAAGTGAATCCATTCTGCTTCTGGCTCAAATTGAAGAGTATGACTGTGCCTGTTAGAATAAATCTCAACAATAATATGACTTTAACACCCCTTAATTAATTTTTTATAAACATGTTTAATCTTATATCTTGTAAATAAATATACACATATTAATTATTTATTAATTACATTATCTTATGTATTATTAATTATGTTGGTAAAAAATATATTATTAACAATTTTATTTCTTCAAATTAAAATATATCATACAATCTATGTTTTATGTAATTATCATATTAACTTATATTTTTTTTAATAATTTGTACATATAAAAAGTGCTTCTGATAACAACTATCCAAATACTCTCACTTCTCAGAATCACTTTTTCACAAAATCTATTTTTTCCAGAATCTATTCTCCAAACTATAGTTTGGTTTCATCCAAACACCCCCTAAATGTGCTAAATAAGATTCTACGAGGGTGGAGCTCAATTCGGATAAAAATGGTAGTTAATGCAAGAAATATAAATAATTAAAATTTTTTTGCTAAGTAATAATTTTATTTGAGATATCATCAAAAACTAAATGTGAGTGCACCTCGTCGAACGATAATTTAAATCACCATTCACCATGTTAGAGAGATTAAACATTTTTAATAGATTCCAATTCCCATCAGTTAATAATTAAAAACTTAAAATAAAACAACTGTCAAGCCCAAGGCCGAAGAAGTAAATGGGACAAAAAACAGTAAAGATTAGATGACAAAACTCAAAAGTACTTGTTTTTTTTTTAAAAAAAATCTAAACCATGATTTCAGAGCAAATTAGCCAATAACCTATTAAAATCCAAAAATCTATTTGAAAGTCTAGGATCATGGTTTTTACCAAAGCACACTCTTAAGTCATAGATATGCTGGGTGTCCTTCAAATCCCAAATTTTAATTAAATAGCTGAATAATCTTTTGAGCAATTGTTGTCATTTGACTGACTGAATATGTGTCTCTACTTCCGAATCTTCCATCCATCACTCTTGCCGGATGTTTAGTCACATTAAAATAAAATTGAGAATTCTAAAATAATTCATTCTTTTTTTTTTTTGGGACCAAATTATTATTTGCTTATCACTTTATCTAAAATAATAATTCATTCTAGCCGGACAAAAGGAAAAGGTATCCTAATCCAAAAAGTATAGCAACAGTGAAATCACTGAAGATTATTTCTATAAGTTTGGTATATATATTCTAAAAAGGGTCAGTATTCATAGGATCCGTATATTGAAATTTGAGATTTTGGTTCCTTTTTAGAGTTCCATTTAGTCAAAGTTTTATCAAAATCCACAATCCCAGAATCAGCAGCCAACTGGGGAAAAAATCCATTGTCCCTAACTTTCCTTCTTTCCTGATGCTGCTAGAAAACTATCTTTTCACTCAAAAACGTCATCATTTATAACCTTTTTCTTTTCTTTTCTTTTTAAAATACATGCTTGCATTCTCACCAAAACAATATTGATTTTTTTGTCAGCAGTATATGAAATTGATTCCAAAGCTTGGGTTAACAAAACCGTATTTTAAATACTAAATAAGAATTCCAACTGGATGGATTTCAACTGTGATAAGAAATAATCATAAGCGTTTGATATAAGAAAATACTTTAAAGTGATTGTAAATAATTAAGAACTCTAGGTAAGACCATTACAGTTTAAGGGGTATCTAGGTGAAAATAAAATCATAGTTTTAAAAATATTTTTATGATATATAAAATAAATATGCATGAAAAAGAATTTGTTTCGATTCACGGATCAATAATCCAAAACACCTTAGATTTGAGATGAGGAAGTCGGGAGGGGGAAAACAGCAAGAAATTTGTTAATCTTTACCGAAAATGTGGGTCGTACTCGGCTCTCATGTTTTTCTCAATTTATATCGGAGTTTTTAATCCATAAACCTTACTTTGGTTGCATAATCTTTTATTGATGGTTTTCATAAGGAAAAATAATTTTATTACCTTCGATTCTTAATATAAGAGTTAATTGACTAATTTAAATAGATTAAAAAAATTAATTAAGTTAATTATTTATAATAAATAGGAGTTATCTTTCATAAAATATCTTTATTAATCAAATATATTGGTTATAACTACTATTATTATAAGGATTACCTTGAAAAAAATAGATAAACATAAAAGATAGAATAAATTATGGTTTTATATTTAAGAATAAAATAAAAATGAAATAAATTCTCATATTAAAAATCAAACTCGTATATTTTACATGTATAGTCCTTTTTGCCCTTCGATGGCATGAAGTCAAGTTGTCGGTTATGTGCGTATACGACGTAAACGCGCAAACGCGCACGTGCGCACACACGTGTCACACTTTTCAGCTGTGTTAGTCAATTGAATGATGTTTGTTATACTCTATTTTTTTATTGCAATCTAAAAGATGGTTTGAAATGTTTTTAAGTCGACGCGTATTTGTGTGTATGTAAACACTCAAACAGACATGTTAATACATTATAAACGAGTGTAGTGGTATATTTTTCATTCGTATTTTTAATTTGCCGGATGTTTGGTTACATTCTAACAAATTAAAGCATTCTAAAGTTTAATTTATTAATGCCCAAAAAGAAGGCATCCTAATTCAAAGAGGCATGCTTGGGGTGAAGGTCATTGAAATTATTACCATGAGTTTGGTGTATTATAGACAAAAGGTCAATAGTCAAAGGAGAAACTGTATATTGAAAATTGAGATTTCACTTCCTTTTTAGAGTTAAGTTTTAGTCAAAATGACAGGCCCAGAATCAGCAACCTTCTGGAAAAATCCACTGTAAGTAATTTCCTTTTAATCCCCAAAAAAAAAAAATCATTTATCTCTTTTTTTTATTTTCTTATTTTTTAAGAAAATAAATATTTGTGAATCTGACAAAGAATGACTAGAAATGTCACAAAATCCGTTGAGTCCCAAAGTCACGTCATTGATGGATTCACTATCGAATTCAACAGATCCTCACTGTCCCAATCACACGCGTACGAATGAGGCCTTTCCTCTGCATTATCGTGAGTTGTAATGTTTCTATTGGTTGCTTTGAGTTCATACCATGCTTTTACCGTGCACCTCCACACACCATATCTTCTCCCACCCTCTGACAACATGACAACCCACACGCGCGTGACACACTCGCTCCGAATCGGATTGTGGCAGCAGACATCACGATCCCCTGTTTTTGGCAGTGGGCCCCACTCTCCCTTCTCTCTCCTCCTATATATTTCAATTTCAATTCCTTCATTCTCATAAAATCAAGACAGAGAGAGATAAGGGGAAATAGAGAGAGAGAAAGAGAGTTTGCCAATGGAGTGAAGGAAGGGCGAGGAAGGAGTCGAATCGGAAGCGTATAAAAAAATAGAGAGCACGGCCACAGAAGAAAGCCCTTGACCTTGGTATTACCTTGGAGTCATAGTAAGTCAGCTCCTTTAATTTTGTTTTAATATTCTATAGAATAATAGTTTTTTCTCTTCCTCTTACATGTCCTTTTCTCTTCCACAGATTCCAGGGAGAGAGAAAGTGAAGGATCTGAAAAGTTCATTACTCTCTTGGCTGTTCTGTGCAACCAAACCAACCAACAGGCTGTAGTATTTGCTTTCGCCTTTTACTTTCTTCACTGGCGAATTTAAAGGTATCATTTTTCTCCGTACCTTGGGTTGGTTTCTGTTCCATCCACCATTTCTTTTCGTTTTCTTTTTCTTTTCCCCCCCCCCTTTTCTTCTTTTCCCTCCGTCCAACGAGCAAGCTGAAGAAGAAGGGCAAATGAGAGAGAAGGTTGCAGAGGAGGGTATTGTCAAATGGGCCTTTTCGCCTAGATTTGCCTATGATGCTCTTCAAAAGTCAGTGAGATGAATCCTTTGTTTTCTCTGTTCGCTGTATTTTATATATTCCTTTCCTTTATCCTTTCCCAGTCTCTTTCAGAAGTCTTCGATACTGACAAAAATTTTCTGTTCATGGGGTTTAAGCTTAGATCAAGAGGAAACGTCTTTTCCTCCTCCTCCTCCTCTCTGTCCATGTCCATATGAAGCAGAGGCTTTCTTTCTGTGGAGAGAGAGAGAAATGAATTTGGAAGTCATGCATGAGTGTTGAGTGTTGACAATGAGACAACCTTTTCAGTTCTATCCTTTGTGAAAAAGAAAACTCGTTTTTGTCAGTTTCGTAGCTTATCTTCAATTTAAGGTCAAAAAGTTGAAGAACAATCATCCAAAATCCCCAAAAGTGCCTTGACTTAAGTGATTGTTACAGTTTCAAGAAAAAAGAAACCCGGAGAACAAAATCAAAGTCAGAGAAAAAGGGTAAAGAGAGAGAAGCCAAAAAAAAATTCCTCCGCCTTTTCTTTTCGTCCACTGTATGCTCCGTCTTCTTTTTCGCTTGTCCTCTCTCGGCACCTTCTGATTTATTTATTTAATTACTCTTTATCAAATAATGAATTCGATTTGTGCTTCTTACTGTTCATCTTTTTGCAATGTTTCTGATTAGAGCATTAGTATGCAGAAAAGGAAAATGGATGCGCATGTTGAGATGGGTCTTCTTGGGGAAAACTTCGATCCGAGTTTGATTGCGAGGATTAGGGATGATGGGTATGAGAGTCGTTCTGGAAGTGATAATTTCGATGGCGTATCAGGCGAGGATGATCAGGATGCTGCAGACGATACACCTCAGAGATCGAAGAAGTACCATAGACACACCCCTCACCAAATTCAAGAACTTGAAAAGTATTAACTTTCTTGGTCTTAATCAGATTTTGTTTCTTGTGATTGATTCGATCATCTGGTAATTCGCTTTTTATTCGTTTTTTCAGTTTCTTCAAGGAGTGTCCTCATCCTGACGAGAAGCAAAGACTGGAACTTAGTAGGAGGCTTGGCTTGGAGACTAAGCAAGTTAAATTCTGGTTTCAAAATCGACGAACCCAAATGAAGGTAATTTGCAGATAGTCGTGAATCAGTCTGCAAAAGTAATTATATTCTTTTATTATTATTTTATTCATCTTGCACTTTATGATTGATCTGTCTCTGTGACAATCGGACAGCTGGAAGATTATGGATAACCTATTAAAGAACAAATTGAGAAAGGGCATATTTGGGGATACAAAAATTTGAATTCCTTTAATTGTTAAAGACCAGTATTTATTGTTGACGATCTGGTGGATGGTGCATTAATGAAGATTTGTCTTTTAATTTTTGAATTACCAGACGCAACTGGAGCGTCATGAGAATCATTTTCTGAGGCAAGAAAATGACAAGCTCCGAGCTGAGAACAGTATGATGAAGGAAGCCATGTCCAACCCGGTATGCAACAACTGCGGAAGCCCAGCCATTCCTGGGCAAATCTCATTCGAAGAACACCAACTAAGGATTGAAAATGCTCGATTGAAGGACGAACTGAACCGCATATGTGCCTTGGCTAACAAGTTTCTGGGAAGGCCAATCTCAACCATGGCTCTTGCAACCCCAAATTCTGGTCTTGAGCTAGCCATTGGAAGGAGTAATAATACTATGAGCGGGATTGGTCTTGGGTCAAGCTTTCCGGTGGGATTTGATATGGGGATGACAATGCAAATGGGAAATGATCAAGCACAGGTTGAGAGATCCATGCTTATAGACCTTGCCTTGGCTGCTATGGAGGAATTGATGAAGATGGCTCAAGGGGACGCCCCTCTTTGGATTAAGACATTGGATGGCGGTAATGAAGTCCTGAATCTAGAGGAGTATGCTCGGATTTTTCCTCCTTGTCTTGGCCCGAAACCTCCTGGTTATGTCACTGAAGCTACTAGAGGCACTGGAGTAGTGACGATCAACAGTTTGGCTCTTGTTGAAACATTGATGGACATGGTATATAACATTATCCTCAATTTGATCCATCAAACACTTTGTTCTTATGGTTTATTTATTGTTCTGATTGATTAATTCTGGGAATATGCAGAATCGATGGGTGGAGATGTTTCCGACCATGATTGCTAGAGCTTTGCCGCTCGATGTGATATCAAATGGCGTGGGAGGGACCAGAAGCAGTACTTTGCTCTTGGTATATATATTTCTCTCCTGCTTTGTTTTATTCCTAGTATATCAGATACATACAACACAACATTGTAATTATGCACTTCAGAATTACAGTTTTTTACTTGTATCTTCAACCTGATCGGTACGATTATGTTGCCTTGTCAGTTGGAAGCTGAGCTGCAAATGCTTTCGCCGTTGGTGCCCGTTCGGCAGACGAGATTGCTGCGATTTTGCAAGCAGCAAACAGAAAATCTATGGGCTGTGGTTGATGTTTCAGTCGAGATTGGTCGTGACCCCACCAATGCACACCCTTTCGTCGCATGCAGGAGGCTTCCTTCTGGCTGCCTTGTGCAAGATATGCCCAACGGTTACTCCAAGGTACGTATACTTCTTCATATATATATATATATATATATATATATATATTATACACTTTCATTATCTGACCCAAACGTGAAGTATTTTACTGATCGCACAGACAGATTCGGAATTCGTATATATTAGCTGGAGCTGCTTCTTATTGTCTGTGATCGCTTCTTGAGATGAGTGAATCGAGGCTTGCATGGTTTATGAATAACGTGGAAGCTTCATTTTTGGTCCGGCATCTTATATATATCTTACTTTATCTTCACTAAGTCGGCAAATAATTAAGATTCGATTGATTCTTGGGTTTTTCCATGTTTGTTGTGTGAAAATCTGAGCCATGCTTCGATTCCTATCTCTCTAATAAAGATATAATATATATTTTACACTATTTTTTTTTAACTGTGCTCGAGGTTGTAATGACCTGTATCCAGTCTTCTGTGCTATCATAATTTATATATGTATGTGTGTGTGTGTGTACTTGATCCAGGTGAGATGTTAGTCCGTGTCTTCCACAGAATCAAACCTTTGTTTTTTTAATCCCACTACTGTACAACACTCTATAAAATCACAAACTTATTAGTATGGTGGCTAGAGGGGTCATTTTTGATGCTATTGTTTTCATCTATGTTTATCTATCAAGCGCACGTGTAAATAATTAATATGAAAAAAATATGCCATTTTGACCTCCCTGGTCTCCCATGAAAGAGAATTAATCTCTATATTATATTTTATGATACATTTCCTTGCATGCGTGTCTATCGTATATTGCAGGTTACTTGGGTAGAGCATTGGCAGTACGATGAGAATGTGGTGCACCATCTTTACCGTCCGATGGTGAACGCCGGCATTGGCTTCGGTGCTCCTAGATGGATCGCCGCCCTCCAAAGGCAATGCGAATGCTTGGCCATCCTCTTGTCCTCTTCCCTTCCTATTGATGATCACGCTAGTATGTCACATTCTCATTCCACTTGCTTCACCAGGGTTTCATCCTACGATTTTAGCTTGTTCATTTATGTTTGATCCAAACAAAACCTTGATGTTCTGATGATGATGTCCCAGCACTGAGCCAAGGTGGGCGGCGGAGTATGGTGAAGCTGGCACAACGTATGACGGACAACTTCTGTTCTGGGATAATCGCTTCCTCTGGCCTCAGGTGGGACAGCCTCCGTGTGGAGACGCTGGGAGATGACGTTAAGGTTATGACCCGCAAGAGCGAAGGCGAACCAGGCGATCCTCCCGGAGTCATGCTCAGCGCCGCCACTTCCATCTGGCTGCCGCTGTCGCAGCAGAGTTTGTTCGACTTCCTCCGGGATCAACGCCGGAGATTCGAGTGGGACATCTTGTCCAACGGCGCCGGTACCATGCAGGAAGTGGCTCTCATTGCGAAGGGACAGACACATGGTAACTGTGTTTCTCTACTACGGACCAACGTAAGTATATACTGTCTTGTCCCCTCCTATTTCGATTTTCGTAAGTCGGACATTTAGCTTAGTGGACATTTATATATTCAGGGTGCTAATGGGAACGAGACCAGCATGGTGATGCTGCAAGAGACATGGACGGATGCTACAGGGTCTATGGTGGTTTATGCACCAGTTGATGTGCAGTCGCTGAACGTGGTGATGAGCGGCGGCGATTCTTCGTACGTGGCTCTCTTGCCTTCTGGCTTCGCCATTCATCCCGACGTCAGCCGCAACGGGAGTCCTCCGGGCGGTGACGGTGGCAGTGGCGGAAGCTTGCTTACGGTAGGGTTACAGATACTGGTGAACAGCCTGCCAACAGGGAAGCTGACGGTGGAGTCCATTGAAACGGTGAACAATCTAATGACGGCCACAGTTCAGAAGATCAAAGAGGCGCTCAGAGTTGCATGAAGTCGATGATGATTACAAGTAGTGTTAATGGAGTCTGCAGTTTTCAGATTTAGGGTTTGGATTTTTAAAGGTGGAACAAAAATGAGTAGTTGAGAGGAGGTAAAGAGAGGATATAGAAAGCGGTGGTGGGGGAAGTAAGGGAAGGTTTCGAGTCAAGAACGAACCATGCATGGTAGAAAGAACAGGGTATATGATATGGTGGCAGCGGGTGGTTCGGGTATTGACTCGTTGACCTCCGAGCGTTACTCGGTTTTTCATTTCTCCTGGAGTCTTTTTTTTATTTTTTATTTTTTCCCTTTCTTTGTCTTATATGATGATTAGTGTTTGATGTCGTTCATGAGTCTTACGTTATTATAATATAAAGTTGGAACTTCAGAGTGTCCTCTGTTCAACTCCTTTTGGTTTTTCTTTTTTGTCTCTTGCTTTGGCTTTTATACCTCCTCTGTTCTATAGCCAAATTTGTCTCCTTTCTTCGGTTTCTGATAAAATCCCGTGACTGTAAATGGCAAAGAAATATAATAATCGGGGAAAACTTAAGAGCAAATTAAATGGTTTTTCGTTATTATTTTACATGACTCAAGTTTGATTTCTTCAAAAACAAATACTCCTTCGGTCCTTAATATAAGACCCATTTAACTAATTTGATTAGATTAAAGAAGTTAGATAAGTTAGTTAATTATAAGAAATATGACACGTTTTTTCTAAAATACCATAATCATATTTCTTAATACCTCATTTTTCTCTTATACTTGATTATGGTTGAAAGGGTATTCATAGGGGTAATTTAGAGATAATTGATAAATATGAGAAATGAGTCTTATATTTAAGACCAAAACCAACTCACCAATTGGGTTTTATATGAAGGACCGGAAGAGTATTATTTACATTTATAGTTATTTGGTCACATCAAATTTTAACACTGTCGATTTGATTAGTTTTCGTTAACCCTTAAATAAAAAAATGATTGTGCAAAAATTTTATCCTGTTAATATAGGAAGTTATCAATTTCCTTTTCCATAGGATTATTTTTTAAATTTGGTATAGTTTTTAAAATGAGGTTTCTGAATTTATTCTTTTGTAAGCAAAAACATTATCGCGCCAAAATTTAGAAGTTTCTTTTGGCCTGAAATTAAAATGTTATTAGTATGTGAAGGACTGTTACTGATAAACAATTTTATTCGTATAAACATAAAAAATTTAGTTTTATTTATACGAAACTAAATTAAAATATGTGAGGGTATTCACTTTTGGGCCTATGCTTGCTTTTCTTTTTGGGCTGTTTTATGTTTTTTTTTTTTATCCATCCTCTCCTTCTGGTTTTTCGGTTGATACGAAGGAAACATTCTGAACCGAAAGAGGCGGCCAGCGACAATTGAGTTACAAGATCTGGGCTTTTTTCGGCTGTCACAAGATCTGGGCTCTCGAGGGCAATGAAAGCTCATTCACAAGGCACCCTAAAAATTGAAGTAATTATACCATTGCCCCATTATTTTATTTATTTTATGCAATCTCCTCTTTATGTTTTATTATTCGTCTTCGGATCCCCACTAGGCACCATGCTCGTTTGCTATCCCTTCCCTTGTTCCCCTCCATGTCTTCATGTACAACGAACAGGCGCTAAACCCTGAAATCTAACAGCCACAAGAGCTCAAAATGCGAGTCTTCTTTTCCTATGGCGCCAATATCTTCAAGCGCAAGACCCTAACACATGAGAACACTCGATTATTTCTGAATATGTTTAGCTTCACCCGAGAAATGTCGCAGTCCACTGCCATTCCCAAAAAGCTTCAAAGAGTTCGAGATCATGGCTATGACAACTACATGGAAGTCGAGAAGAAAATGAGAAAAGTTCTCAAATTTCAGGACCTCATTCTTTCGCAGCTCAACCAAACACTCCCAATCTCTCGCCTCGACACCCTCGCTCGCCGAATCGGCTTGAAACAGCACGAAGCCGGCGCGTTCATACTCAAATTCCCTCATGTTTTCGAGGTTTACGAACACCCCGTTCAGCGGATTCTCTTCTGCCGATTAACCCGGAAAGCCATTCTCCAAATCGATCAAGAAAGGCAAGCCCTCATCGCGCAAATTCCAGACGGTGTCACGCGCCTCCGGAAGCTTTTGATGATGTCTAACACCGGAAGGCTTCGTCTGGAGCATGTTCGTATTGCTCGGTCTGCGTTTGGGTTACCGGACGACTTCGAGTACTCGGTGGTTCTCAGGTACCCGCAGTATTTTCGATTGTATGATGCCAAAGAGACCAGGAATAAGTACATCGAGCTTGTGGAGAGGGATGAGAAGTTAACTGTGTGTGCCATAGAGAAAGCTAGGGAGAAGGAATACAGGGAGAAAGGAGTTGAAGCTGAAAATATTAGATTTTCTTTCATTATAAATTTCCCTCCGGGCTTTAAGATTGGGAAGTATTTTAGAATTGCAATGTGGAAGTGGCAACGTTTGCCATACTGGTCACCTTATGAAGATGTTTCAGGATATGATTTGAGATCGATTGAGGCTCAGAAGCGAATGGAGAAGAGAGCAGTTGCTACAATCCATGAATTGTTGTCGTTGACTGTAGAGAAAAAAATTACTCTGGAGAGGATTGCTCATTTTCGGATGGCAATGAATTTGCCCAAGAAGTTGAAAGACTTTCTTCTTCAGCACCAGGGGATATTTTATGTCTCAACTAGAGGGAATCAAGGGAAGCTGCACACGGTTTTCCTCAGGGAGGCGTATAGAAAGGGAGAATTGATAGAGCCCAATGATTTGTATTTAGCAAGAAGGAAGCTAGCTGAGTTGATTTTGACAAGTCCCAGGAAAGCAAACGTTGATAGAGAATTGATTGGCTATAGGAGAAGTAGAGAAGAGGATGAAATGGGCCCAATAAGAAGAGCATGTGTTGAGAATGGTTTTGAGGACTTTGAGGGTGGAGATAGTATCGGGCAAGAAGGGGATGCGGAGGCTGATTTGTCATCAGGCATGGGTTCTGATGTTGATTCTGAAATTGAAGATGAGGATGACGATTTTGAGGATAATGTATCAATGGAAAGGACATCTCAGTAACATTAATATCAGGTTGAGAAGGTGGAATTGAAAACTTTCACCTGGCTTGGTTGGATGCTTTCTGTGGAGAGAATATATTGAGGGATTCTTTCAACGTTGGTTCTTCCTATTTCGCTGTTTAGAAGTCTCTCGGTGGCTTCAAAAGAAAGTATTCAAAGCAGTGGACATTAGTTAAGATTGCTATCTATCTCATCTCATCTCATCTCATCTGAAGTGATCATATGACATGTGACTTGTTTGGCTAGTATGCAGCGAGTTTTGTGGCCATTATCATGAATATCTTTTCTTCAATGGTGGCTGGCAAACCATACTGTGGGAATTTGGATTTGCTGGATACTGAGTGCCAGATCTTGAAGATGATTGTATGTGTCATTGCTAAACCAATAAGACTGGAACTGATATGTTGTCAGGTTTATCTGTACACAGAGAAACAATTAAATGGAAGAAAACTACCAAGCAAAGGAAGGAATTACACCTTAAGCTCGAAGCTTCAAATTGTTGGAAGGTATAGGGCTTAACTCGGACGTTCATCCAACCACATAAGGCAACTCCAGTTAACTTGAGTTTTGTTACTATCCTGTTTTGGAAATTCGTTGACATGAAAAAGCAGTGGCTCGTAAACTGATGCACAGGTAATTTAACATTGGCTCATCAGTGTTATGCTAGCGTACTAAATGCCGTTAGTCTTCAAAAAACAATAACTAGCCTTGTGTCACTAAGCTAGATAAGCTGTATGAATTGTACAATGGCATTGTGCTCTTTCAATACTGACTTCGCTCATTTTTCTTCATAACTAGTCCCAAGCATAGACAAAAGAGTGTTATGTTAGTCCCTCAGACAAAAAATGTGATTTCCCATGTCAAATTATGTTTTGATCAATACATGCTTCGATCAAAATGTCTTCATCAGATTACTAATTATTTTATGTGGGAACTTAAAGAAGTCATCAATCGAGACCTCTTGGTTAGCGGCTCATTAGAGGAATTGGTTTCAAGACAGGGCACAAGGATATTGTATGATTCACGTAGCTGACCCACTTAATGCGATAAAGCTTTTATCGTTGACTTTTTCTCTTTATTTTTATTCAATTGGGAACTTTGATCAGATAGGTAGAAGTTTTCTTTCCCTTGGTTGGCAAGCATTGACATCGCTACGAAGTATGTGCAAATTGGTGGAGATTACAGACTAATAATAAGCTTCGTCATTTTGCTGTTCACCTATTGGCTTGTTGACTTTTACAGTTTGATCTTCTATGAGTGGCGAACAGAAAAAACTAGAGTGAACTCGTAGGTTTTCTGAGACAGGCAGATGAAAACAGATATAGAAATTTGATGATAAGTGGATAGCTAAGCAATTGTATAGCGTTTTGTAGGGTTGAAGAAGGAAGTCATGAGACTGATGATCAAGAAATGACCGAAAACCATCTCAGACTTGAAGATTAGATGAGGCGGAGTCAATTGTTGGTGGGTTTGGTTCAGCTAACATTGAAGGGGAAGGACGTGTAAGAAACAATAACGGCCTGTTTGAATTCTTATGAAAATTTACTGCCATACTTTATTCATTTTTATAATTCTGATACAGTTGGGCTTATCATATTCACAAGTCTGATGCAAACTTGCTGGTTTGACTTTGCTGGGATTCATTGTAAATTCAAAGCAGGGTCCTACACTCCATTGATATTCTGGTTTACTGGGGAAATTTCCAGTTGCACATAAGATTAGATGTACGTGTGGGAACTGAATTTGCGTGATTCATTTTGTTGATTATTTGACTTAATTAAACTGTAATTGGGTCAAATTAAGCCCGTCATTTACCCAAGCAAAAAAGGAAAGTAAACATGTTAGGCACGTTCTTGTTTTTTTAATAAAAAAAATCCATATATTTATTTTAGTTTACATTTGTTTTTATGAATTTGGGGGGAAATTTATTGGAGTAGAATACCCGCTTTAATCCTTATACAGTACATGTTGATTGGGACATTTTGGGTCCATGCTGAACAGAAACCCATTCCAATTATTTTAATTGTAAATTATAAGTTTTTATCTTTAAAATTTGACCACAACGAGTGCGAGGGAAGCTGAAAAGATTCCTTCATTCCTTGGTTTTTAAGAAGACCTCAATCAGTTTTATTTTAAAGATAATTTCTTTAACACAACGATACTAAGAGGGGAGAAAAAAAAACCTTAATGTTCCCTTATTACGTTTTATTAATGAAACAACCAATTAACTGGAGTTACAAAAGTAACGTACCCAGATCTAAAAATTTATGATAGTATGTTGTCAAATCTTTATGATTAAAATAATTTTT